CTAGTTGAGTCGCAACTGAATGTTTTGATACTAACAAAGCTTGTCTGTCGTTGGACCTCTCCTGCTGAAAGAAAGGCAACAACTGATCCGTTTTATTCGAAAGTCAGTACCTCCCCGCTGCTAATTAAATAACTTGCTCTTTTAATTAATCAGTTTCCAATATCCGATAGTAGTGCTTAATGCCAATGTTGATATTGCGTACATTAGCAATCATCACCGCGGTTGGATTACACTGATATGAACTTAAGCTATATATGCTTACCCTGGCTAAAATGTATTCCACTACTTGATTCGCTTAGTTCTGTTATTTTTCTACATATTCCTTGTTAATTTTGTGTATTCATTGTTCTAAACGTTCCATGTTGATGTTTTATATCCTCGGTATGGCTACACTTGATATTAAAGTTGACAAAGTGAGTACATATGTAAAAACTTCACTTTGATTACTGACGCCGGAAGATTACTAATCTGTGATTCGGGATACAGGGTGAACGGTCCTCTTGGCTGTGCTAGGCTCCACTTTTGGTTCTATCCACTGTAGAATGACCTACGGTCTAGCCACCATCTTTCCTACGTCTGCTACGTATGACTTACACATTAGATAGATATGAATTCTGCTGCTATGCGTGTTGAAGTGTGGGCCGGTTCCGTTGATGTAAGGTGGCTCCTATCCACATGCCTCTGGGTATTTTGTCTTTGGGTTGACACTGGATATGTGGAACTGATGGTGGTGCAACCTATTCAACCCATCGTTCCTCACTTGGCGCAGGTGTCATGGGGATGTCCTATAGAGGACCTAGTGACAGGCAAATCCAGAACCGGACACGGGGAATTGCCAATAGCAACACAAATCGCTGTCACGTACTGCGTGAGGCCATTTAGACCACATTCCTAACCAAATTACTTTGTTTTATTACTCGAAACACATAAATATTTAAACCAGCATCACGATTCGGAAAAAAGTGTAACTGTAGATTTGCACAGGAGCAAATAGTGAAGGGTCCGAAAAAAATTTTATTAAATAAATCCCTGAAACACCGGTACACTTCAAGAAAAGTGCGTTTAATTTTAATCGTGCGTTAATTACATTCGCAACCGCAACGGACTGGATGAAATCCATTTAATGAAGGTCTTGGGAGTTTTTTCTTTTCCATGCAATGCCCACTTATATTGAGCACAAACAAGCATTTTCCGATGGAACTTACAATCCCAACTGACTAGACGCGCATCTAAATTTGTACACCCTAAAACAAGTTGAGAATAATGCATTTAATTATGCTTATATTTAAGGTGCATTTAAGATGCTTGGAAGGCTGAAGGCCCACTGGAATTTAGATTCTTAAAAAAGTTATAACGCAGGCCGAAATGCATACACAAATTGAACATACAGAATATTAACCTTGAATTACATATGTTGTCACTCCAAATACTGTTTTCTCAGAAAGCCATTAACTGGGACGTAAGCGTCCATAAACACATTATGACTTCCAGGATTGCATTTCTGGATCTATTGGTTTGTCGCGAGCGACACAAGCAACTAAGCAACTGGCATTAGACTGCGATCGTTTAATTTACGAAAAGAACTTTTAATCTGAAGGGCTAAGTCTGTACCGATTGAATCTTGCTAAGATTTCATTTATGTCAAGCTAATGAAACTTGGGTTATTTAGGTATATAACTTGGATATAGTTCAGCGCAATTATCTGTCAGCAAGTCAAACTGTCCTACTTCTGGAAAACTATCTGACGACCGTTATGACCTTCTGAGTCTCGTCTGTCTTGTGAGTTTCTCTGAATCCTTCTGTGTTGCGAACCCGTGACTTCAGAATCCCAGCAGCTTGCGCCACTAAGCCTTGGATGATGGCTGTGTACCTGCATAACTTATAGTTAGCTGTCGGATAACGTAACTCAATCTCATAAACTTTACTTGGTCAGAACTCATCAGGTGTCCGGGGAAGACACGGCTGAGGAGACCCAGCGGTTCAAAATGGCAGCCCGGTGTTTTTCCTTACCTTTGGGAATCTGTATGCCTGAGATGCATCTGCGTTGTACTTTATCCCAGTTACATTCACACTCCCTTGTGCTCATTAGATTTACCCAACTGTCGATTGCGCCAAATCTGCTTGGTCACAATGAGTAATTCCAGAGACGGCAATCATTTATTTCTACGGACTCCAGATGCTTCGCTGCAAAATAGCCCACAGCGGATCATATTAAACTGCACCACGGATAAAAGCACTTTTACTAATTTGCCTTTTCACTCGCCGTATTGTTATGAAGCATGCGGATAATGAGTGGATACACCAAGGGAAGTTTGTATGTGTTAGTCCATAGTTCTGCCTGGCATTTCTTCGATAACAAGTGGGGGAAAGTTCCCAGAAGCTTACACTGCGGAATAATTTGAGCTGCTTCTTTCTGAGAGCTCTTAATTATTAACAAAAAGCGATGACCTTATAGTGATGGCCAACCACTGTCCTCTGCACGGGCAATAACTTGCATGGCAGTGGAGGTTGGGTCGGGCTATATCGCATGTAGGTTTCAATTCACAATGGTCGGCTGTCGTACCTCCATGGCTCAGTGGCATAAGCTGCTGGCTAGTTGGCGTTAGCCTCTAGCGCCCACGGGTTCGATCCCCAGTAGGGGACGGATGGATGCACAATAATGACTAACCCCAATAGGGTGAAACGCGCGTCTGGTGCTCTCCGGATTACTAGCTTACCTATGCGGCTTCGAATCTAATTGTGATGAACCAAACCAAAACAAAGGAGTTTGTTGAAATTGGCAGATGAGAGAAGCAATTATTACCGCCTTTAAATTGTTAGGTCCAAACATGGTGGTTAATTATCAGAATGGAACGACGGTTACATACCTTTTTCTGTATGTTATAAGGGACAAGCATGCAAACTGCGCCAACTATGACGTACTCTGTCTCTTGATAAACTTGTTTGACGTTCGTCATAGTCACCGTATGTTGGCATTGAGTGTGTACTGTATAGCTGGATTAATCATGCAGCTTTTGTTGCTTGATGTTTCGCTGAGCGGAATATCGTTGCTTATCCTACACGTTTTAGCCACTGGAAATGTCTCCTTACCTGAATCAATCAATTAAACTGTAGGAATACTGGGTTATATTTTCTTCGGCTTAGCTTTAAGCACCTTAACAGTTCAGCAGCTTGAGCGCAAAGAGTTTAGGACCATGATTTAGCAAGTATGCAAAAACTGCCTTAAGTCTTAAGTAGTGTTTAGCTGTAAATTTTTAGCTCGACTTTCATATCACATCGTAGTAGTGCAACTCTCGAAATACGTCCCAAAACAAAGGTAGCGATATAGCACATCTTTCGACAAACTAATATTTTCCTACGAACAAACTGTAGTATTCACATTTAGTCCAGTTTACCTTTTGTTCATACATTTTGTCACAAGATACACGGTATTTTTCATATTATCTACTTCGCGCATATATCAAGCTATTATTTTTGTAAATTGCGGCTTTGATATTTGGTGTTTAAGACACACCTAAATTAGAAAACCATGTAGATTTGCCGCGTGCCATGTTTTTATCCTCAAACTTTATTGCCATGGAAGCCAGTGATCAGTTACTACTACTGAGACTGTGCGGGTACTACAGAACACCTTACTCATACGAGCCAGGCTGGTGCGCAGCCAAATAATTTATAGCCACGAATAAAACACACGATATCTAGAGCCAATGGCTAGGTACCCAGAGTCGAATAATTAGTTTATGCTAATGGAGGATCTACATAATGAACCCAAATGAACTATGTGAATGGTCAAGCATCAAGTTTATGATGATTCAAGCAAAACGTTCTAATAATGTGGGGAGACCAAAAGATCCGCACACAGATGATTGTAAACAGATAACCTTTAAGGGTTTAGACTCAACATAAACTGGTGCTGGTTATAATTCCTTAGCGTTTTTCACAGCGTGAAAATGCGTTATTGATTGTGGTTTGTGTGTTTTGTACCCGGCAAAATACGGAGGCTGTGTGATGATTCCTTGTATACGGACTCAGGCAGACAGTCATCACATCCAGGAAGACGCCAGAAGTCCGTTGCGTCCTATTGAGACTCGTCAGTAGCGCGCACCATCCGTGTCCTATCGGATTCTAACCCACGACTTTGGTCTTACGAACCAGCAAAATATGCCACTAACCTGTGGGTGACGGCAGCGGACCGCTATGACAGATATCTAAGTGCGATATAGCGCTCTTCATCAACTACTGTCATGCATGATGTCGAAGTGCAGAGGTCAGAGATGGTCCCCAGAAAACGACTTCCTTCACAAGTCGCCACAAATCGAAATAGGCGTGTAAGCAGCTAAAACGATTATTGGTTTAGAGTCAGGTAGCATTCGGATGGCGTGCGCTACCGACGAGTTCCAATAGGTTGAAACTGTCGTGCAATGCCTACCTGGAAATCTGTTGCTTGTCTTTCTGGGTCCGACTGCGACGAAGCTTCACCTAAACCCAATAAATCCCCCCACTACCCACAAAACTAAGGAGCTCTCGGAATAATCAAGCTACATATCTATCTACAGCGCATATATCGTTATATTAACCAAGATACTGAATAAGCCCGTAGAAATTGGTCTCCGTTACTCACTCTAGGTCATCGCTGCTGTAGATTACAATTTAAACCATGTCTTTAAGCTATTTTTTAGTAGTTTAATGTGTTAGGCTTGGTTGGTTTTAAAGTTGGATACGTGGGCTTGAAAGTTTGGACATATTATTTGTAATATGACTGAGAAACCGGTGAGTATCTAAGTTACGAGGTGACCACCCAACAATTATTACAGGAAATTTTACCTGCTGTACGCTAAAAATACAAACAAAATCAGTCTGCTTATGGTACAGAAGCGATAATAAACTGCCGGCGAATAATTGTGAGGTATACCAAAGCCAACATAACTTGCAAGAGTAAGCAGAAACAGACGTAGGTTGCCATTCCGGCCACTCGTTTACTGTGTTCCTCTTCATTACAGGGCACTGCTATTGGGCAACTTGCAAAGTGCACTTCTGAGGTTACTCTTATTGGTATCGCATCCAAGGAGAAACATGAAAAGCTGACCAGTTTGTACAACCATCTTTTTACTCCGGAGCAAGAGTATATGTCGGAGATTAAAAAGTAAGCAACGTGGGCTTGTACTGCTTTGCTTAAGCCATTCCAGTGTTGGCAGCTACATGAGATATTAAAAAATAGTGCGGAATACAAGAAAACGGTCTCAAAAGTTAATTAGGGCGCGGATTCCCGTGCTAAGTTTCTTTTTGAGAGGATTTTAAATTTCGTATTTTTATTTTTCGATATCTGTCTCTATGTTGCTACTTGCTTTTTCAACATACATTTTCCTCATTCCTGTTTCCCCATTCTTATTACGTTACTTTATCCAAAGACAATTTGGATGTTATAATGAAACGGTAGAACAATGGCAGCACATTACCTTCATCAATAGCACATCTGGTATTGCCTAATAATTTTGTCAAGGTCTATTTTTCCACGCAGTGCCGTCCATGTTAATGTCCAAAACCTGTGAAATCAGGCCTGATATCGAGACATTTTTAGTATTAACAGAGTCCATCCTAGAGAAAAGTTGGCACAAGTACTCTTGGTCCGAAAATGCGAAATGAGTGAAAAGTGTTCTACTAAGATTCTATTCCATACTGAAATACTTAGAAGTGCTTATTGTCATGTAACTCAAAAGCTGTACCAAACATTGAAGTTGGATCGCAAAAATAACGGGTCCATAAAAGCGGACGATGATATTTTGTAATATGCTTCCGGTCAAGGGACCCGAGCATTTCTTTGCCCAGGGCGTACGTGGATCGCAGTATACCAACAGGGCTGAAAGGCAAATCCGATACGTCGTAGGCCACATAATAGTTTCATCACAATCACATAGCTTAAATGAACCTGGATGCAGGGTGCGCTGGACTTGCATTTCGTGGCGCGCTGGCTGCTGTTGTTACAGCTGACGGTAGAGGACCTGTACTGAGAAGAACAGATGGATAGCTGGGGAACGAACTTGAAATGGCTGATCTAACATGAAAAACGAAATAAGAATGTAAAGGAAAGACTAAAGGACAGTAGCTTTCTAAGCTAGTTACGACAATCTCTTCCGGAATAGAGCAATGGTTTATGACGTTTGTAAATGCAATTTGTTAACGTTTTCACACAGTTTGCTTAGGATAAAAATTACAATACATAAGAAAATGTAGGTAAAAGAAGGCGCGCAATATATGACTCACTAATGGGTTTACATTGGCACAACTGAGTATTCCTGTCTGGATTTCAGGAGGATTATGACATCGTCCACTTTTTTCTGTACCACTGCCATCACCTGATGGTCATGGGCTGTACTGCATAGCATAATGGTGATAGGGAATCGTTACAGTTTTTTTTGTATAGGGATACGATTATAGCCTTATTTACATGCTCTAATATGAGTTCCAAGACTGTGACATTCGAAAGGATGACAATGCTTCCTCGACAGTCCAGTCGGCTGTACTGTCTGGACAAACTAAACGGATGACTCCTCAGAGATATGCTTTGACTGAGTTCCAAAATAGAGCGGCGTTTGTGGTTAGGTATCTTGGTGATCTGCTGTTTAAGTATGAGACCACCTCTTAGTCATAACTTCCATTGTACATGTTAATATTTTTCTGCCTGAGTGGTTATGGAAGGAGTTACAAACACCGAGAGGACTTCGTCGCTCTGCGATGTGTAGCATCGAGCGCTGTGAAGTTGTGTTTTCGCCCGCATTGACAGCTCTGTTTGCAGATGCCGCGGGCGGCCTCATGTATGCGCCAAGCATATTCGGAAAGTTCGAGGCATCAAAAATCCCGACCGCCCTCGGCGAGAAGCCGATCTGCTGATATTTTTGCTTTGTTGAGAATTCAGTCTGTCAAAAGCCGCCAACGCTATCATACAAGCGCACACCTAAATCGTGCTCATGAGAAGCCTGAACCTAGCAGACATTTGCGAGTGATGCGCTGGTGTATGGTCAAAACTTTGTACTTAGTCGCTTTGAACTGCAGCATATTCTCAATGGACCATGTGTATGTTTTATCAAGATCATCTTGTAGGGCAAGATCTTTTACGAAGACAAGGAACAAGCGATACCCAAGTACCGAGTCCAGAGCTAGCTGCAGTGCATATCGATCGTTTATTATAGGCTGATGCGAAACCCATTTGTTGATACTGCACGTGAAAACTGCCAACCCAGCCCAGAATGGGATGGTCGATTGCATAATAATGAAGCTTTTGCAGTAGAATGCGATGGTCAAGACTGTCGAATGCCTTTGAGAAACCCATATAGGCGGCTGTTACCCCAACATCAGCGTCCACCTATTGCGTTTAGCACACACAACTAATTAATAGATTAATATTGCAAAGCCGCTTTTGGCGAAATCCGTGCTGCTCCGGAAGGCGAATTTTGTTATTTTTCAGGTACCCATGAAAGCCTCAGCTAAAATTGATTCAGTGATCATGGAGATGACCGAAAATGGTTTTGCCTGATGATAATTCGCTGGTTCTGCACGGATACCACTTTCCTAGGTTGGAGTGATGATCCCATTATTCATGTCGTGAGGACCTGCGTCTCGTGAATGCATTATTAAAAGAATACTGAGAACGGTTCAACTAAACGCACGGTATCAACTTTCACAGCCTATGGACGAAGGTAGTCTTCTCCAGGCATGCTGGACTGGCGCAAAGACATCGGCCGTTTCAGTACAACTGTGCTTGTAAAAGTTATGTGCTTAATGATTTATGGCAACGTGATCTACATAGCTAGCATGTAAGCTGATGGTACATTTTGGAAGTTACCGTCAACTTGTTGACTAAGAAGGTTGGCTGCCTATTGTGCCGTTTGCGTTTATCCACATGGTGTGTAAAGAGCAGAAATTCCGAACTTAAACAAACAACTTTTGTTTACGTGACTGTATAACAGATTAGAGATACTGAAAGATGTCATCACACGTATGATCCAGGGAGAGATTCACCCAGCGGTTCCTTTGTGTCGTATAGATGTCCAAAGTTATCTCACCCGAGCAGGTTACTAGACTAAACAAGCCGACCCCTCAGTGATATGCATTACTGTGTGTTGCTCCTTAGAAAAGACTTTTTCAGAAAAGACTTTTTCACAAGGTGAGTTTGAAATGCTGATGTGCTTGTCAAGAGTCTGCTAAAACTATTGACAACTTCCCCGCAGGTCATCTCGAGGAACTTCCTTCTAGGAAAGACCAGCTTGTTTAAGCAATGAGGTCGGATAAGTTATCATGTATGCATACGACGTAAAATTCCTCGGTACTGTCTTTAAAGTACTCTTTAGAACACTTACAGTACAACACTGGTATGGCCTGGTCGCTTTAAACCAAGAGAGTGCACCTTCTTACTTCGACGGTCATGAGTTCTTCGTTGGTAGAAACAAGTTACAAGTTGGCCCGTTTGTTTCCTTTCCTGCAAAGCGTTGGATAATTGGCTTGACTATACAGCGGTGAACCAACTATTAGCCTTTGCACTTCCACGTTGGATTGCTCAGCGAAATTGACCGAAGTTCCAAGGACATGCAGGTAGAATTTCCCTGCCACAGAAAATCGTACCAGTAGGTCATTCGTAGCAGAGGCTAGAGCCTGATGCATTCTAAAATGGACAGTGGAAGGCAGTACACAATTGTTACTAAGCATTTCTCATACTCTCTTACGTGTAGAAGATACCAAAAGGAAGTCTACCTTTTGTACCGCAGGGTCGCTTACGCGGTCCACAAGTAGGTCGAAAATATAGTAACTAATTACCTCAGTTCCCATTGTGGTTCGGCCTTTGCGCAAGAGTAAAATACCTGGTAGTGCCATATATTGCTCTAATTTATTATGTTTCTACATACCTTATACAGCCAGTGCTGCATTTAAAGATGTATTGGAAAATAATCCTCCTTAAACGCCGCTTTTTGTGCCAAGCAGTCAATGCTCTGTTAATTAGCTGTTATTATATAGTAGTAGTAGTTAGTGATTCAGTCAAATTTACGGATTCTTCTTGGAAGTATCCAGGCATCCGGTATTTGACAGTGAGATCTTTTAGTGTGGCTTTGCGACAAATGAGATATAAATAAATGTATAATAAATATAGTGATCAGAAGTCGAACCTATGTTTTCGATACTTCATCTGCAGGCTTATACATTAATATGCAAATCAAAATGTGCGCACCGACATTACAAGTAGTTACTACTAGAGCGAGTTAATTGGATGCTGACAGCGATGTCTGTCAAGCCACGACAACCGACCGCTTGTGACCTCGTGGGTCAGATGTCACCGGCCGTTTGGGCCAGGGCAGTTTCAAGCCTTGAGTTAGCTTCTTCAGAACACATATCTCCGGTTCATACAGCCGGATCGCGATTGCTTCAGCGGCTTCTAGTAGTCGTTTGCGGAAGTAGTTCGGCCGTGTTTTGGGGCCTGATAGATCCGTTTGAAGGAATCAGTGAACTTTTTGGCGTGCCCTGTATCGTTTAGGTGCGAGGCTATTGAAGAGCTCGCTATATTTCCACTTACAGTTCTAAGCCAGACCGGTTGGTGTTCCTTCATTCTCGTAGGTAGACGCCGAGTCGTACGACCAATGTATTCCGCCACACAGGAACATGGAAAGGACTAGATACACATTGCGTTGGTGTAGACAGGCCTCTCATCCCTTGAGTTTAGTCCCACTATAATAATAAATATGGTGTTCTGGGGATGCAGGTCATGAATAATTGTAATACAGTTCTATGGCTAATCATGTTTAAGGACAAAATGGTTACATTTCCGTTTCTGCATTTTCTCGACCATCATAAACCGATGATGTCAAATTTAGCCAAAAGAGGAAACTTTTTGTATTCGAAAGTGTAGTAAAAGCTGTTATGGCAATCATTCTCTGATGCAATATTTCATATTTCGTCAAATCGACTCATTACTGCTCTGCACCCCCTTAAGGCATTCATGGAAATAAGATTTTTCCTTAAACAGCTCAATTATCAATTTTATTGGACCAAATAGAGCCGGAAACATGTGGTGCGGTCGTAGCTATTAGAGATTTTGAAGAAAGACTTGATGACGAATAATATAACTTGATGGACGTGAGCAATGCCTGTTAATTGAAA